GGGGGGGGGGGGGGGGGGGATTCTCCATACGTTTAAATCATGCCACGAGCCAACAAAAGGCAGGAAATTTGGAGCTAGAGCTCACACTTGCTCACAGACATGTAGAAAACAAGCGCTCGGCGGCTGGAGAGTGAGCTGTCACTTAGGATTTCCTGGCTTTCTCCCCCAGTTTGTTGCAGAATAAACAGCACTGGGTTGCGGCAGGAGGAGAAGGGAGGGCTGGCCAGGGGCAGACCCAACCTCCTTTGCTTCCCTCTGTTTTCTCTCCAAAAAAAAAATAAATACTAAAAAGAGCAAATCCCTCTGGGCTTGGAGGCACCACCGCATCGTGGGTGTGCGCAGGGAGCAGGCTCATCCCCGGGCACGTGGCAGCGAGGGAGGATGGTGATGGAGGGGCTGATGCTGTGGCTGCCGTGTGATGGATCCAGTGGGCAGGTACAAGCCCACGGTCCCCAAGTGTGTCAGCACCAGCTGGAAAGGCCTGACTGCAGGGAATGGTGCTGGTGGGACTGGTGTGTTCTGGGAGCCTGTCTGGGGGTGGTTTCTAAGGCAGCGGCTGGAGGCTTCTTGCTGAAAAGTCCCCGGTCCCTCTGCACAGGTTTGGGACTGGTGTGTGCTGGGAACCTGTCTGGGGGGGGTTTCTAAGGCAGAAGCTGGAGGCTTCTTGCTGAAAATCCCCAGTGCCTCTGCAGAGGCTGCACCGAGGGGCTGTTTGGGGGGGGGGGGGGGGATTCTCCATACGTTTAAATCATGCCACGAGCCAACAAAAGGCAGGAAATTTGGAGCTAGAGCTCACACTTGCTCACAGACATGTAGAAAACAAGCGCTCGGCGGCTGGAGAGTGAGCTGTCACTTAGGATTTCCTGGCTTTCTCCCCCAGTTTGTTGCAGAATAAACAGCGCTGGGTTGCGGCAGGAGGAGAAGGGAGGGCTGGCCAGGGGCAGACCCAACCTCCTTTGCTTCCCTCTGTTTTCTCTCCAAAAAAAAAATAAATACTAAAAAGAGCAAATCCCTCTGGGCTTGGAGGCACCACCGCATCGTGGGTGTGCGCAGGGAGCAGGCTCATCCCCGGGCACGTGGCAGCGAGGGAGGATGGTGATGGAGGGGCTGATGCTGTGGCTGCCGTGTGATGGATCCAGTGGGCAGGTACAAGCCCACGGTCCCCAAGTGTGTCAGCACCAGCTGGAAAGGCCTGACTGCAGGGAATGGTGCTGGTGGGACTGGTGTGTTCTGGGAGCCTGTCTGGGGGTGGTTTCTAAGGCAGCGGCTGGAGGCTTCTTGCTGAAAAGTCCCCGGTCCCTCTGCACAGGTTGCACCGAGGGGCTGTTTGAAGCCTGGGAACCACCATCTCATCTCTTAGGAGATGCTGAGCAACCTCTGCTCGTGGCTGGAGATGGGCAAAGAGGTCTTAGAGCAGCTTGCTCTTCTCTCGTGAAGAAATCCAGCCACAGAAAGTCTCCCATTAAAACTCTCTGTAGGCAAAAACTACTTCTTTATTTTATCCTTTGGGCCAAAGGCTTGGAAACCAGAACATTTTGGTTTTGAAGGACTGGTATGGTGCTTCGTGAGGGTTGTGTTTCAGGTGCCTTCTGTTCCAGGGTCCCTGTTCCCCATTCTAGGTGAATGGTCCCCAGCCCACCCAGCACCCCACAGGGACGGGCAGGAGGTTCCCCAGCTGTGCTCCAGATGAGGAGTCCTTGCTCTCAACTTCCTTCTATTTTTCCCTCCCTCCCAGCTCTCCCAACAAGCCTCCATCCCTCCTGCAGTGGCTCCTTACCCTGTTCCCATCCTCTGTCCTTGCTCTTGGAGGTCAATTCGGGCACGTCCAGTGCAAATGCTGAGTGTAGCTTCCTAAAAGGCTTTTGGAACGGGGGAACTGGACTGTATTTTGTGTGAGGCTCGTGCTTACCTGCCCCTCTCTGTTCCTCCCCAGCTGCCAGTCCCCATCGCCGTGTTTTTCTTGCTCTACAAGGAGAGGATGGTGCCCTGCTTCAACGGCAGCAGCCACCCGCTGCTCTCGGCCGACGAGCTGGCCATGGAGACACGACCTGGGGAGAAGGACGATCTCTCCACCACTGTGCAGAGACCCCAGGCAGCAGGAGGTGAGCTGGGGGCACCTCTCTTACGGGTTTGGAGGGATGGGGGAAGGTGATCAGGGGGAGAAAAAGCCATATTTCTGAGTGTCTCGGAGTTTAACAAGAGATCCATCCCTATTGTCTAAGAAGGAAACTTCCCAAAGTGTACATGTGAGTGTAACCCAGAAATATCCAAATAATCTAAACATAATTTGGTGCTCAGTTGCCCTCAAATTAGGTAGGACCATAAGCCCTGGCCAGAGATTATTATCCTGCCGTTGGGACTCCAGGCTGCTTTTCTCCAAACTGCCCTAAAACTAAACCCAGGCTCCCGAGTCCTTTAAGCACCCGTGGAAGTCATCCCCCTTTATTTCCTTCTGGTTTGGGGTCAGGTTTTGAGCTGGTTCCACTGACTGTTCAGTTTAAAAGCGGTCATCACGCTGCAGAACACTGATTTTTATAAATCTGAAAGGCATAAGGACAGCGCCCTTGTTTGAGGGGAAAAGTTAAACTCCAGCAATAGTTTGCTCTTGAACTGGTGACTACACCCTGTCTTGGGGACAATAGAAATATTGTTCTTTGCTACCCAAGAGAAACATATCAAAGGAAACTCTTCAGCTAAATAGTGAATCTCAGAAGTAATTGTATTTTAGGGTCATCAGAGGAGTGTTTAGTGTTATTACAGAAGAGGTGGCTTCACCTGAACAATAAAAGGCAATTTTAGGGAATATTTGAAGGAGGAGGCAGTTAGAGATGTGGTGAGGTGCCGCAGGGAAGGATCCCTGGTGTCCCTAGGGGAGTGGGTTCTCTGGTGTCTGGTGAGGCTGTGCTTATCTGACAGCATTCCCTTTAGCCGAGGCACTGATGGATTCCTTCCTCAACCCTGCTGCCCATTTTCATACAACCCGCTGGAGCTTCAGGTTCTTCAGATTTCCATCTTCCTCTTCAATGCAGCTGAGGTTAATCCTTAGAGAAGCAGGAGGGCTGGATCCTGACTGCTGTGCTCTTTGACAGACACCTCTTTGCTGGCAAAACCCCCCAGAGTGAGGTCAAAACGTCCCAGAGTGAGGTGACAGGAGCTGTGTGTTCATCACACTCTTTGCCAAAGTTGGCTTGTTTGGTTAAATAGGATTTATCCAAGGAATGGGAGCTCTCCTGGGCAGGACTCTCCTGTGTCGGTGGTACCCAGGATGAGGGGCTCTGAGCTGTGGTCGGATGGGCTTGTTTCTAGTGACTGTAAGAGTGGGGCCAGCAATTAGCTGCTCCTAATTGGAAAGCAGCTCCAATAAGAGAAGCAGCAAGTATCCTGGAGAGCTAGGATCCCATAAGCATATCCATCTTCCCTCTCAAAGTGTAGAGGTAGGTAAAGAAGCAGCTGTGCCAGCAGAGGTTAGCCGTGCTCCACGTTGTTCACTGTCCTCTGTGAATCTCTGTTGTGCAGCTTGAGTGCAAAATAAATCCCCATCGTGGGCAGGCAACCACCCAGCCCCAGGGGGACGTTCCAGCTAAGTGTGTGCTTTGCATTGTTTCTCACCAGGTCATGATGACTTATTTAGCTGCTGCCAAAGCAAAAACTTCAGAGGGGCTTCTTACACCTACTTCGCAGTCCACATCACTGGGGCTCTTGTTCTCTTCATGACTGATGGGATTGTGGTGAGTTCAGCTGATGGAGGGATCTTCTCTGAGCAAAGCTACACGGCTTTCTTCCTTCTAAAACCGCTTGTAACAGCCCAAACCCAGCACGTGTCCTCTGCCTGCGGCGGTCTGGGTCCCAAAGTCACTCGTTGGAAGCTAATTGCATCAGGCTGAGAGGTGTCCCTGCTTCTTGGGAGGGTTTTGTGGCTTCTCCAAGGCTCTGTGGTGTTGCAGCTGGGTTGCTACTCACCCAGCCAGCACGGAGCTGGAGGTGTGATGTTGCCTGTGTGTACGCAGGGGAGGTCTCTTCTCGCTTCAGCCAAGGGGCAAGAACAGCTTCACTTTATTTCATAACAAATGGTGGCTCTTTGTTTGATGGGTCTCCTGAGCCCTCAGAATCCAAGCTGAGAGTGTGCAGGGATGGTCCTCTCTGTAGTGGCCTGGTAGAGTGTCCCTGGCCGGTGCGGTCACTCCGGGGTTCCCTGGGTGCAGCCCTTCTGCCCAGGTGAGGAAGGCTCACTCTTGGCTGGCAAGTTGCTGTTATTTTCTTCCAACAGTTTTGTCTCCGGTCCCCACCTGATAAAACACTGCTGGGTCTCAGCAGGGCATTAGATAGGATCCTGAAAAATGAGTGGGGTCACACAGAGCAGCTCTCAGACAGGGGAACCTTCCAGGGTCTCCATCTTCAAGGTCACAGAATCACAGAATGATATGGGGTTGGAAGGGACCTCTGGAGATCGTCTAGTCCAACCCCCTGCCAAAGCAGGGCCACCCACAGCAGGTCCCACAGGAACGTGTCCAGGTGGGGTTTGAATGTCTCCAGAGAAGGAGACTCCACCACCTCCCTGGGCAGCCTCGTGATATGTTTTGAGAGTTTGAAATTCCAAATTGCAATTCCAAAAAGACAAGGTGGTCCCCAGGGAAGAGAGTGTCTCTGCAGACAGGAGCTTAGCAGGCATTTTACCGAGTAATGCTGTTAACTCTTGCCCTTTTAGGGGAGCTTAAGTCCCATGTTCTACTGCTGGGGGGAGCCCATCTCCAGCTGCAAACCCTTGGGAGAAAGAGTCACTGAGATTTGGTAGCAAATCCATAGTGATTTGGAGTGTCACTCCATAGGAGTGACACTATCGTGGCTAACTGAGGGACAGGATGAAGTTGAAGTTGGGAAGCCTGTTAAGTCCTCACATCCTGACGTGCTGCTCTGTTCTCCCCCCAGGGCGAGTACTCGGGCTTCGTGTACAGCTACGCGGTGGAGGAGCCCCTCTCGGTGGTACACAAAGTGGCCGGGTACCTGCCCAGCCTCTTCTGGGGCTTCATCACGTTGGGCAGGCTCATCTCCATCCCCATCTCCTACCGCATGAAGCCGGCCACGATGGTCTTCATCAACGTGGTAAGGCTGGGTTGGTTTTTTTTACTATGTTTTTCTTCTCTTTGCCTCCAAGATGCTCTTTAGCTTTGGGTTTCATCTTGGGAGCGACTTTCGTGCTGTTCTTGGGGTACGACTTGATTGTGCCCCTTTCCTGAGCCTGCACCTCAATTAATTGAAGGTTAGATCTGTGGAAGCTCCTAGTAAAGCATCTGCCAACTTGATTTATTTTGCACGCTGTTTTCTCTGGCGTCTACAGGGAAATTACTGCCTGTGTTAGCTGTGGGAAAGGGAAGGAGGATAGCTCAGCGGAGTCACTACTTAAACTGTAGCAGTTGTCAAAGAAACTAACGTGATGTGAGATGCTTAAATTAATAAAACACGTTCACTTGAAGAAAGGGGAAGGAATCCTTTAAGGATATGGAAGAAAGATGCATGTAAGGATGTGGCAGACAATAGGGAGGGAGCTGTTCCCATTCACACTTGTTGGAAAATAAGAAACAAGTGAAAAGACAGTTAATTTACAGCTTATTTAAACCCGAAGTTATTATTTCAGTAGCAAGCTTCACAGTTAATATTGCAAGGCCAAGAAGCTATAATGGGGTGGTGATAGAACAGGAGAGACAGTTCCCATTGGGGTGTTGTGAAGATCGAAGCTATAATGGGGTGGTGATAGAACAGGACAGTTCCCATTGGGATGTTGTGAAGACTTGGGCAGGGGCTCAGCACCTTCCTGAAGGTCCTTTAAAAACTGAGCTTAGATACCAACAGATAGGCATTTGTTTTAAAAATGAGTGGTTTTTTTGGCTGTAATCTCCTACTTCAGCACATAGTCCCTATTAGAGGGGAGCAGGGAAGCTCAGCTCCAGCAGGTCCGTGGCAGGTACCTGATATGGACATCCCCATCCAGCTCCTCGATGCAGACCACCAACTTTAGCCCTTGTCCAAACTCTTAGCAAACCTGAGGACAGGACTGCTTTCCCTGCTGATGATATTTGGAGAGAAGAGTGAAATGCCTCCAGCCTTGAATGGAAGTCTTCTCTCTGCCCCTTAAAGGCAATGGTGGTATCATCCAAGGTCAAAGTCTCCCTTGACTGACACTGAACCCTTTGTGAGTGGGCTCTGCTGGATGCGGCACCATCACCGATGCTGGGAGTCACTCCAGCAAAGTGCAGCTTGAATTCTATTTCTATAGACTCCCAATTGTACATGCACACACCCGTAACGAGGGCCTAAACAATTAAGGAACAGTAATTGGGGCTGGTTTTGCAGAGCTCCCTCTGCTGACTCCGTGGCCACGACTGAACTTCGTGCTGCCCGGATGGTTCTGCTGCCGCTCGCAGCGGGGAGAGGCAGTTTATTTAAAGGTAGTTGGCCCGGTGGTTTCTAGGCAGTGACTGGTTTCTAGGCAGTTATTGAGAGTGAGTTAATTCTTTAACCTGCTGAATAAGACTTATTAGTGATTGAGATGTAAATATTCTGGAGGTAGCAGCACTATCACATTTAAAGCTGCAGAGGAAAAGTGTTTTTTCAGGTATGATCTCTACCTAATGAAGCGGAGATTTAAGTACCAAGTTATGAAGCCCTGTTATAAAAAGTACCAAATTCTGTACTGTAAAGGTAGATGGATTTTATTTGGCTGGTTACTGCAGCTGTTCAGACAGAGATTGTCATCTCTTTTCAGTATTGTTTATTTTTTTGCAGAGAACAGTCTGGAAAAGAAAATAAACATCTAGAGCCTATTGCAACTCAGCATTTCCCATCTCCCTGACCACTTGTGTGTGTGTGTGTCTTGTCCACAGGTTGGAGTCCTCATCACCTTCCTCCTGCTCCTGATTTTCTCCTACAGCGTTGTCTTCTTGTTCGTGGGGACGGCGTCGCTGGGGCTGTTCCTCAGCAGCACGTTCCCCAGCATGTTGGCCTACACTGAGGACATCCTGCAGTACAGAGGTGAGCAGGGATTTGAGCTCTGATGATACCATCACACCCAGCACCTCCTTCCCTCCTCCTCTGGGATGTCCAGGAGGCCTGGAAGAAAGATTTTGACTTCTGAATGCAATGTTTATTCAAGCTTGTAGTCAGAAAATGCTCAGAGGGCTGGAGCACCTCTCTGATGAAGACAGGCTGAGGGAATTGGGGGTGTTCAGCCTGGAGAAGAGAAGGCTCCAGGGAGACTTTATAACAGCCTTTCAGTCCTTGAAGGGGGCTACAGGAGAGCTGGGGAGGGACTCTTTATAAGGGAGTGGAGCGATAGGACAAGGGGTAACGGTTTTAAATTGAAAGAGGGGAGATTTAGATTAGATACCAGAAATAAATTCTTTGCTGTGAGGGTGGTGAGACCTGGGAACCACCATCTCATCTCTTAGGAGATGCTGAGCAACCTCTGCTCGTGGCTGGAGATGGGCAAAGAGGTCTTAGAGCAGCTTGCTCTTCTCTCGTGAAGAAATCCAGCCACAGAAAGTCTCCCATTAAAACTCTCTGTAGGCAAAAACTACTTCTTTATTTTATCCTTTGGGCCAAAGGCTTGGAAACCAGAACATTTTGGTTTTGAAGGACTGGTATGGTGCTTCGTGAGGGTTGTGTTTCAGGTGCCTTCTGTTCCAGGGTCCCTGTTCCCCATTCTAGGTGAATGGTCCCCAGCCCACCCAGCACCCCACAGGGATGGGCAGGAGGTTCCCCAGCCGTGCTCCAGATCAGGAGTCCTTGCTCTCAACTTCCTTCTATTTTTCCCTCCCTCCCAGCTCTCCCAACAAGCCTCCATCCCTCCTGCAGTGGCTCCTTACCCTGTTCCCATCCTCTGTCCTTGCTCTTGGAGGTCAATTCGGGCACGTCCAGTGCAAATGCTGAGTGTAGCTTCCTAAAAGGCTTTTGGAACGGGGGAACTGGACTGTATTTTGTGTGAGGCTCGTGCTTACCTGCCCCTCTCTGTTCCTCCCCAGCTGCCAGTCCCCATCGCCGTGTTTTTCTTGCTCTACAAGGAGAGGATGGTGCCCTGCTTCAACGGCAGCAGCCACCCGCTGCTCTCGGCCGACGAGCTGGCCATGGAGACACGACCTGGGGAGAAGGACGATCTCTCCACCACTGTGCAGAGACCCCAGGCAGCAGGAGGTGAGCTGGGGGCACCTCTCTTACGGGTTTGGAGGGATGGGGGAAGGTGATCAGGGGGAGAAAAAGCCATATTTCTGAGTGTCTCGGAGTTTAACAAGAGATCCATCCCTATTGTCTAAGAAGGAAACTTCCCAAAGTGTACATGTGAGTGTAACCCAGAAATATCCAAATAATCTAAACATAATTTGGTGCTCAGTTGCCCTCAAATTAGGTAGGACCATAAGCCCTGGCCAGAGATTATTATCCTGCCGTTGGGACTCCAGGCTGCTTTTCTCCAAACTGCCCTAAAACTAAACCCAGGCTCCCGAGTCCTTTAAGCACCCGTGGAAGTCATCCCCCTTTATTTCCTTCTGGTTTGGGGTCAGGTTTTGAGCTGGTTCCACTGACTGTTCAGTTTAAAAGCGGTCATCACGCTGCAGAACACTGATTTTTATAAATCTGAAAGGCATAAGGACAGCGCCCTTGTTTGAGGGGAAAAGTTAAACTCCAGCAATAGTTTGCTCTTGAACTGGTGACTACACCCTGTCTTGGGGACAATAGAAATATTGTTCTTTGCTACCCAAGAGAAACATATCAAAGGAAACTCTTCAGCTAAATAGTGAATCTCAGAAGTAATTGTATTTTAGGGTCATCAGAGGAGTGTTTAGTGTTATTACAGAAGAGGTGGCTTCACCTGAACAATAAAAGGCAATTTTAGGGAATATTTGAAGGAGGAGGCAGTTAGAGATGTGGTGAGGTGCCGCAGGGAAGGATCCCTGGTGTCCCTAGGGGAGTGGGTTCTCTGGTGTCTGGTGAGGCTGTGCTTATCTGACAGCATTCCCTTTAGCCGAGGCACTGATGGATTCCTTCCTCAACCCTGCTGCCCATTTTCATACAACCCGCTGGAGCTTCAGGTTCTTCAGATTTCCATCTTCCTCTTCAATGCAGCTGAGGTTAATCCTTAGAGAAGCAGGAGGGCTGGATCCTGACTGCTGTGCTCTTTGACAGACACCTCTTTGCTGGCAAAACCCCCCAGAGTGAGGTCAAAACGTCCCAGAGTGAGGTGACAGGAGCTGTGTGTTCATCACACTCTTTGCCAAAGTTGGCTTGTTTGGTTAAATAGGATTTATCCAAGGAATGGGAGCTCTCCTGGGCAGGACTCTCCTGTGTCGGTGGTACCCAGGATGAGGGGCTCTGAGCTGTGGTCGGATGGGCTTGTTTCTAGTGACTGTAAGAGTGGGGCCAGCAATTAGCTGCTCCTAATTGGAAAGCAGCTCCAATAAGAGAAGCAGCAAGTATCCTGGAGAGCTAGGATCCCATAAGCATATCCATCTTCCTTCTCGAAGTGTAGAGGTAGGTAAAGAAGCAGCTGTGCCAGCAGAGGTGAGCCATGCTCTACGTTGCTCACTGTCCTCTGTGAATCTCTGTCGTGCAGCTTGAGTGCAAAATAAATCCCCATCATGGGCAGGCAACCACCCAGCCCCAGGGGGACATTCCAGCTAAGTGTGCTTTGCATTGTTTCTCACCAGGTCATGATGACTTATTTAGCTGCTGCCAAAGCAAAAACTTCAGAGGGGCTTCTTACACCTACTTCGCAGTCCACATCACTGGGGCTCTTGTTCTCTTCATGACTGATGGGATTGTGGTGAGTTCAGCTGATGGAGGGATCTTCTCTGAGCAAAGCTACACGGCTTTCTTCCTTCCAAAACCGCTTGTAACAGCCCAAACCCAGCACGTGTCCTCTGCCTGCGGCGGTCTGGGTCCCAAAGTCGCTCGTTGGAAGCTAATTGCATCAGGCTGAGAGGTGTCCCTGCTTCTTGGGAGGGTTTTGTGGCTTCTCCAAGGCTCTGTGGTGTTGCAGCTGGGTTGCTACTCACCCAGCCAGCACGGAGCTGGAGGTGTGATGTTGCCTGTGTGTACGCAGGGGAGGTCTCTTCTCGCTTCAGCCAAGGGGCAAGAACAGCTTCACTTTATTTCATAACAAATGGTGGCTCTTTGTTTGATGGGTCTCCTGAGCCCTCAGAATCCAAGCTGAGAGTGTGCAGGGATGGTCCTCTCTGTAGTGGCCTGGTAGAGTGTCCCTGGCCGGTGCGGTCACTCCGGGGTTCCATGGGTGCAGCCCTTCTGCCTGGGTGAGGAAGGCTCACTCTTGGCTGGCAAGTTGCTGTTATTTTCTTCCAACAGTTTTGTCTCCGGTCCCCACCTGATAAAACACTGCTGGGTCTCAGCAGGGCATTAGATAGGATCCTGAAAAATGAGTGGGGTCACACAGAGCAGCTCTCAGACAGGGGAACCTTCCAGGGTCTCCATCTTCAAGGTCACAGAATCACAGAATGATATGGGGTTGGAAGGGACCTCTGGAGATCGTCTAGTCCAACCCCCTGCCAAAGCAGGGCCACCCACAGCAGGTCCCACAGGAACGTGTCCAGGTGGGGTTTGAATGTCTCCAGAGAAGGAGACTCCACCACCTCCCTGGGCAGCCTCGTGATATGTTTTGAGAGTTTGAAATTCCAAATTGCAATTCCAAAAAGACAAGGTGGTCCCCAGGGAAGAATGTCTCTGCAGACAGGAGCTTAGCAGGCGTTTTACCGAGTAATGCTGTTAACTCTTGCCCTTTTAGGGGAGCTTAAGTCCCGTGTTCTACTGCTGGGGGGAGCCCGTCTCCAGGTGCAAACCCTTGGGAGCAAGAGTCACTGAGATTTGGTAGCAAATCCATAGTGATTTGGAGTGTCACTCCATAGGAATGACACTATCGTGGCTAACTGAGGGACAGGATGAAGTTGAAGTTGGGAAGCCTGTTAAGTCCTCACATCCTGACGTGCTGCTCTGTTCTCCCCCCAGGGCGAGTACTCGGGCTTCGTGTACAGCTACGCGGTGGAGGAGCCCCTCTCGGTGGTACACAAAGTGGCCGGGTACCTGCCCAGCCTCTTCTGGGGCTTCATCACGTTGGGCAGGCTCATCTCCATCCCCATCTCCTACCGCATGAAGCCGGCCACGATGGTCTTCATCAACGTGGTAAGGCTGGTTGTTTTTTTTTTTTTACTATGTTTTTCTTCTCTTTGCCTCCAAGATGCTCTTTAGCTTTGGGTTTCATCTTGGGAACGACTTCTGTGCTGTTCTTGGGGTACGACTTGATTGTGCCCCTTTCCTGAGCCTGCACCTCAATTAATTGAAGGTTAGATCTGTGGAAGCTCCTAGTAAAGCATCTGCCAACTTGATTTATTTTGCACGCTGTTTTCTCTGGCGTCTACAGGGAAATTACTGCCTGTGTTAGCTGTGGGAAAGGGAAGGAGGATAGCTCAGCGGAGTCACTACTTAAACTGTAGCAGTTGTCAAAGAAACTAACGTGATGTGAGATGCTTAAATTAATAAAACACGTTCACTTGAAGAAAGGGGAAGGAATCCTTTAAGGATATGGAAGAAAGATGCATGTAAGGATGTGGCAGACAATAGGGAGGGAGCTGTTCCCATTCACACTTGTTGGAAAATAAGAAACAAGTGAAAAGACAGTTAATTTACAGCTTATTTAAACCCGAAGTTATTATTTCAGTAGCAAGCTTCACAGTTAATATTGCAAGGCCAAGAAGCTATAATGGGGTGGTGATAGAACAGGAGAGACAGTTCCCATTGGGGTGTTGTGAAGATCTGGGCAGGGGCTCAGCACCTTCCTGAAGGTCCTTTAAAAACTGAGCTTAGATACCAACAGATAGGCATTTGTTTTAAAAATGAGTGGGTTTTTTTGGCTGTAATCTCCTACTTCAGCACATAGTCCCTATTAGAGGGGAGCAGGGAAGCTCAGCACCAGCAGATCTGTGGCAGGTACCTGATATGGACATCCCCATCCAGCTCCTCGATGCAGACCACCAACTTTAGCCCTTGTCCAAACTCTTAGCAAACCTGAGGACAGGACTGCTTTCCCTGCTGATGATATTTGGAGAGAAGAGTGAAATGCCTCCAGCCTTGAATGGAAGTCTTCTCTCTGCCCCTTAAAGGCAATGGTGGTATCATCCAAGGTCAAAGTCTCCCTTGACTGACACTGAACCCTTTGTGAGTGGGCTCTGCTGGATGCGGCACCATCACCGATGCTGGGAGTCACTCCAGCAAAGTGCAGCTTGAATTCTATTTCTATAGACTCCCAATTGTACATGCACACACCCGTAACGAGGGCCTAAACAATTAAGGAACAGTAATTGGGGCTGGTTTTGCAGAGCTCCCTCTGCTGACTCCGTGGCCACGACTGAACTTCGTGCTGCCCGGATGGTTCTGCTGCCGCTCGCAGCGGGGAGAGGCAGTTTATTTAAAGGTAGTTGGCCCGGTGGTTTCTAGGCAGTGACTGGTTTCTAGGCAGTTATTGAGAGTGAGTTAATTCTTTAACCTGCTGAATAAGACTTATTAGTGATTGAGATGTAAATATTCTGGAGGTAGCAGCACTATCACATTTAAAGCTGCAGAGGAAAAGTGTTTTTTCAGGTATGATCTCTACCTAATGAAGCGGAGATTTAAGTACCAAGTTATGAAGCCCTGTTATAAAAAGTACCAAATTCTGTACTGTAAAGGTAGATGGATTTTATTTGGCTGGTTACTGCAGCTGTTCAGACAGAGATTGTCATCTCTTTTCAGTATTGTTTATTTTTTTGCAGAGAACAGTCTGGAAAAGAAAATAAACATCTAGAGCCTATTGCAACTCAGCATTTCCCATCTCCCTGACCACTTGTGTGTGTGTGTGTCTTGTCCACAGGTTGGAGTCCTCATCACCTTCCTCCTGCTCCTGATTTTCTCCTACAGCGTTGTCTTCTTGTTCGTGGGGACGGCGTCGCTGGGGCTGTTCCTCAGCAGCACGTTCCCCAGCATGTTGGCCTACACTGAGGACATCCTGCAGTACAGAGGTGAGCAGGGATTTGAGCTCTGATGATACCATCACACCCAGCACCTCCTTCCCTCCTCCTCTGGGATGTCCAGGAGGCCTGGAAGAAAGATTTTGACTTCTGAATGCAATGTTTATTCAAGCTTGTAGTCAGAAAATGCTCAGAGGGCTGGAGCACCTCTCTGATGAAGACAGGCTGAGGGAATTGGGGGTGTTCAGCCTGGAGAAGAGAAGGCTCCAGGGAGACTTTATAACAGCCTTTCAGTCCTTGAAGGGGGCTACAGGAGAGCTGGGGAGGGACTCTTTATAAGGGAGTGGAGCGATAGGACAAGGGGTAATGGTTTTAAATTGAAAGAGGGGAGATTTAGATTAGATACCAGAAATAAATTCTTTGCTGTGAGGGTGGTGAGAGCCTGGCCCAGGTTGCCCAGAGAAGCTGTGGCTGCCCCATCCCTGGAGGGGTTCAAGGCCAGGTTGGAGGGGGCTTGGAGCAACCTGGGCTGGTGGGAGGTGTCCCTGCCCAGGGCAGGGGGTTGGAACTCCATGATCTTTAAGGTCCCTTCCAACTCTAACAATTCTATGAAAATCAGACCACACAAATCCTGGTTTCAGCGTACTGATAACTCCTGCAGGCAGGGATCCAGCCTGGTTCTTCATTTCCTGCAGCTTTAGGGCTCTTGGAGACTGACAGTGTCTGTGTTGGCCGTTTACAGGCAGCTAGTTTAGGAAATCTATCAGACCACACAAATCCTGGTTTCAGCGTACTGATAACTCCTGCAGGCAGGGATCCAGCCTGGTTCTTCATTTCCTGCAGCTTTAGGGCTCTTGGAGACTGACAGTGTCTGTGTTGGCCGTTTACAGGCAGCTAGTTTAGGAAATCATCACCCAGCTTATCAGCAAACTGAAAATCCTAGAGTTTGGCCAGCTCTTCCAGGAGGTCTCTGCCAACCTCCGTCTCTGGGGCAGCGATGCAGAAGAATGATGATCTTTCCAGCAAGAGGCAACATCACCTCTGCCAACAGAGACAAGCGGCAGGACAGGAGATGGTTATTTGGCTTAAACTTTTACCTTTCTGCACTACCGCAGGCTAGAAGAGGTGTTCCCAGCACTAGATGGGAACAAGCATTAAGTATTTGTGTATCTTGGATGGAGAGATCCAGGGAAGAGCAGCCTAAAGCAGCTCTGGCTGGTCCTGTTGGCTCTTTCACCCCTTCCCTGCCAACACCTTGTGCTGTTTCTTCACAGGCTGTGCCACAACCGTGTTAGTGACTGGAGCTGGAATTGGAGAGATGGTCCTACAGTTACTGGTGGGGTCGGTAAGTGGAGACAAGGAATGCCAAAACCTGACTGTGACCCTTAAATAGCAGCCTTAGTCCTGGTTTTGGAGAGGTGCTGGGGAAAATGACCGCATGACCCTTCAGCTACCCAACAGTGAAGCCCTTGCTGAATGCTGAGCAGGGATTTGAGTGCTATGATGACAAGTCTGGTCCCTATTTTTATTTATTTTTTTTTTTCCCCTCCAATTTCAGATCATACATGATCGGGGCAGCTACAGTTTCCTGGTCTGCGGGATGATCTTTGGAGGCTTGGCCTTTACCTTCTACGCTTTCCTCGTGTTTTTCCACAGGATGTACCCCAAGCCCTCGTCAGGTAAGAAAGCCCCAGCCCTCAGCCCTGCTTTGGCATGAAAGGAAGAGCAGCACATGCCTCAGCACACAGCCAGGGTGCAGCACTTCAGCAAAATGCAAGGAAATGGTTATTTTACTGCTGCTTCCTGCCCCCTCTTCCTGCTTTGACTTGCCCACAAAGCCTTGGCAGCCACAAATCAGGGTCTGCTTGCTTTTCTCTTGGAGAAACAAGGGGGGAAAAAAATAAATAGGAATGGGCTGTGGGTCACAGAGGAATTGTACGACACACAGGAGGCAAGTTGTGACAGCAACTGAGATAGCAGTGGGTATATAGTGCATATATCCCAATGCAGCCTGCACAAACTTCACTGTGCTGATCCCTGGCTAAAATCCAGGGAAAAGTGGGTTTGTCATCCCAAGGCAGCTGTCAGGCTCTTGAGAGCTCTTTATCCCACTGATAAAGGATTTATCTTGGGTATTGCCCCATTCTGCAGAAGTTACTTGCTTTTATCAGAACCTTTTATAAAGGAGCACTCTGTGACTGGCAAAAAAACTTGTCCAGGTTATTGGACATGGACCCTTTTTTTCCATGACCAGCCAAGTAAACGAGCAGTGTGGTGGGTGACAGACCAACAATATCTGTCTGGGAGAGCTCAAAATCACAGAATGACATGGGGTTGGAAGAGACCTCTGGAGATCTTCTAGTCCAACCCCCTGTCAGAGCAGGTCCACCAGAGCAGGTCCCACAGGAACGTGTCCAGGTGGGTTTGAATGTCTCCAGAGATGGAGACTCCACCACCTCTCTGGGCAGCCTCTGCCAGGGCTCTGCCACAAGTTCCTCCTCATGTTGGGATGGAACTTCTTATATTCAAGTTTGTGCCCATTTCCTCTTGTCCTGTCAAGAGGACACTCCTGAAAAAAGACTGGTCCCATCCTCCTGACACCCACCCTTTAAGCTTTTATAGGTGTTGATCAGATCCCCCCTCAGCCTTCTCTTCTCCAGACTAAACAGACCCACCCAGGTTGCCCAGAGAAGCTGTGGCTGCCCCATCCCTGGAGGGGTTCAAGGCCGGGTTGGAGGGGGCTTGGAGCAACCTGGTCTGGTGGGAGGTGTCCCTGCCCAGGGCAGGGGGTTGGAACTCCATGATCTTTAAGGTCCCTTCCAACTCTAACCATTCTATCAGACCACACAAATCCTGGTTTCAGCGTACTGATAACTCCTGCAGGCAGGGATCCAGCCTGGTTCTTCATTTCCTGCAGCTTTAGGGCTCTTGGAGACTGACAGTGTCTGTGTTTACAGGCAGCTAGTTTAGGAAACCATCACCCAGCTTATCAGCAAACTGAAAATCCTAGAGTTTGGCCAGCTCTTCCAGGAGGTCTCTGCCAACCTCCGTCTCTGGGGCAGCGATGCAGAAGAATGACGATCTTTCCAGCAAGAGGCAACATCACCTCTGCCAACAGAGACAAGCGGCAGGACAGGAGATGGTTATTTGGCTTAAACTTTTACCTTTCTGCACTACCGCAGGCTAGAAGAGGTGTTCCCAGCACTAGATGGGAACAAGCATTAAGTATTTGTGTATCTTGGATGGAGAGATCCAGGGAAGAGCAGCCTAAAGCAGCTCTGGCTGGTCCTGTTGGCTCTTTCACCCCTTCCCTGCCAACACCTTGTGCTGTTTCTTCACAGGCTGTGCCACAACCGTGTTAGTGACTGGAGCTGGAATTGGAGAGATGGTCCTACAGTTACTGGTGGGGTCGGTAAGTGGAGACAAGGAATGCCAAAACCTGACTGTGACCCTTAAATAGCAGCCTTAGTCCTGGTTTTGGAGAGGTGCTGGGGAAAATGACCGCATGACCCTTCAGCTACCCAACAGTGAAGCCCTTGCTGAATGCTGAGCAGGGATTTGAGTGCTATGATGACAAGTCTGGTCCCTATTTTTATTTATTTTTTTTTTTCCCCTCCAATTTCAGATCATACATGATCGGGGCAGCTACAGTTTCCTGGTCTGCGGGATGATCTTTGGAGGCTTGGCCTTTACCTTCTACGCTTTCCTCGTGTTTTTCCACAGGATGTACCCCAAGCCCTCGTCAGGTAAGAAAGCCCCAGCCCTCAGCCCTGCTTTGGCATGAAGGGAAGAGCAGCACATGCCTCAGCACACAGCCAGGGTGCAGCACTTCAGCAAAATGCAAGGAAATGGTTATTTTACTGCTGCTTCCTGCCCCCTCTTCCTGCTTTGACTTGCCCACAAAGCCTTGGCAGCCACAAATCAGGGTCTGCTTGCTTTTCTCTTGGAGAAACAAGGGGGGAAAAAAATAAATAGGAATGGGCTGTGGGTCACAGAGGAATTGTACGACACACAGGAGGCAAGTTGTGACAGCAACTGAGATAGCAGTGGGTATATAGTGCATATATCCCAATGCAGCCTGCACAAACTTCACTGTGCTGATCCCTGGCTAAAATCCAGGGAAAGCAAGTTGTGACAGCAACTGAGATAGCAGTGAGAATATAGTGTATATATCCCCAATACAGCCTGCACAAGCTTCCCTGCACTGATCCATGGCTAAAATCCAGGGAACAGTGGGTTTGTCATCCCAAGGCAGCTGTCAGGCTCTTGAGAGCTCTTTATCCCACTGATAAAGGATTTATCTTGGGTATTGCCCCATTCTGCAGAAGTTACTCGCTTTTATCAGAACCTTTTATAAAGGAGCACTCTGTGACTGGCAAAAAAACTTGTCCAGGTTATTGGACATGGACCCTTTTTTTCCATGACCAGCCAAGTAAACGAGCAGTGTGGTGGGTGACAGACCAACAATATCTGTCTGGGAGAGCTCCAGTCCAACCCCCTGCCAGAGCAGGGCCACCCAGAGCAGGTCCCACAGGAACATGTCCAGGTGGGGTTTCAATGTCTCCAGAGAAGGAGACTCCACCACCTCTCTGGGCAGCCTCTGCCAGGGCTCTGCCACCCTCAAAGTGAAGAAGTTCTTCCTCATGTTTGGGTGGAACTTCTTGTATTCAAGTTTGTGCCCATTTCCTCTTGTCCTGTCCCCGGGCACCACTGAAAAAAGCCTGGCCCCATCCTCCTGACACCCACCCTTTAAGTATTTATAGGTGTTGATCTGATCCCCCCTCAGCCTTCTCTTCTCCAGACTAAACAGACCCAAGTCCCTCAGCCTTTCCTCAAGCATGTCCATGGAAAGGTTTAGAATCAGTACCTTCAGCTGAAGTGTCTTATGCCCATTTTTCAGATCTGGACGACGCCTCGCCTGACAAACCAGCAATAACGGATGACACGGGGCAGTACCAGCGCTGAGGGAGCAACCAAGCCCTAGAGAAGCAATAAAAACACCACACAATTAAGCATCTTACTCTTAAGGATGATTTCACACTTCAATGACTGAATCATGCAAGTTTTCTGCAATCAAAAGCACACTCGATTGGGTAAGTCGGAATCAAGAAAACATCCTAGAACATTGCGTCGAGCCAAGCACAAGCTGCCCATCTCACATCTTACCAAAAAACACCAGTGTCAGTGTCAGCCTGATGCTGCAGGACACAGCAGGGGTGACAGGGGACAGTCACTCCTGCAAACGAACATTTTTTACCAATTCAGGATGGAGGGAGGGGAAGGAAAAGGTTCTCTCTGTTCCACACACAAGACTGACTGTCTCCTGGCATAGCCAGTGAACTCAATAGATTTTTTATTTTTTTTTCTTTTGGCCTGTAATGGACAGAAGCCCCTACAATTCCCAGCACAGTTCTGGATTTGGATTCATTTTTGTGCAATGCTGACTCGAGGATCTGTCACCTCCACGGATACTTCCAAAGGGGAAAAAAATTATCCAATGGGTGGAACCCACCAGGCACACAGTGGTAGCAGGACCTATCGATATTTGCACAGTTAATTCCTGTATATTACACAGTATCAGACATGGTCACTAAGACAGTGTCTTATTCAGCATGCTAAGCCTTCTTGATTATTAAAATCATTAGCTTTTTTTATTTTTTTTTCTTTTAAGTCAAGAATGAGTTGTGCTGGTTTGTTTTGCTTTAGGTCACTAGTTGAGCTGCTCCAGTCTCAGTGTCTTTTAGGGTGGGTTTTTTTTATTACTAGCTTCCAGTTGAAGCTGAAACCAGAGGTATTTGGGAGCCAGCCTCCAGCTGCTTAATCTGTGCAATACTTATTATACCAGGTGCCTTCTGAAAGGTACTCTCATACCCCACGCATGACCCAAGCGCAAGCGATGGAGAAGGGACTGGCTTTAGACAAGCATAAAGCTACAAAACATCCCTTTCTTCAGTGAGTGATTGGACATCATGTACTTTTTGCTTTAACTGCTGTATGTGGATGTACATATGTACCTGTGTATATAAAGCAGTGTTTAATTAAAGGTGATTGATTGCTACATTCTCAGCGTGACTGGACTTGGGTAACTTAAGCTGTTTCTGGCCAAGATATTATCCACTGCTACTTTCACCAGTTCTAGCTTTCAAACTCAGACTGGATCTAACAGCTGGGTTAACTTTAAAGTGGTTTTTAGCATTTCTATTTTTCCAAGCAGACCTTACCTTCCATAAAAGATCTTCACAAGCTCCCAGGGGGTGGTGGTTCTGCAGAAAACAACTCTCAGAAGAGCAGACTTGTTCAATTATCTTCATATACCTGAAGCTGAACGCATGTAAGGTGGGAGATATAGATAGTTGAATTTTGGATTTAACTCATCATCCCCAGACTTTCAGGAGCCCCCCTGCCTCCCACCCACAGCAGTGGGTGCTGCAATTCTTCTCCAGCACCACAGGATGCCACTCTCCCTCTCCTTGAGACACCCAGAATGAAAATAGCATGTACTGCAAAACCCATCTGCAGCAAAAAAAAAAAAAACCACTTTTTTTTTATTACTAGCTTCCAGTTGAAGCTGAAACCAGAGGTATTTGGGAGCCAGCCTCCAGCTGCTTAATCTGTGCAATACTTATTATACCAGGTGCCTTCTGAAAGGTACTCTCATACCCCACGCATGACCCAAGCGCAAGCGATGGAGAAAGGACTGGCTTTAGACAAGCATAAAGCTACAAAACATCCCTTTCTTCAGTGAGTGATTGGACATCATGTACTTTTTGCTTTAACTGCTGTATGTGGATGTACATATGTACCTGTGTATATAAAGCAGTGTTTAATTAAAGGTGATTGATTGCTACATTCTCAGCATGACTGGACTTGGGTAATTTAAGCTGTTTCTGGCCAAGATTATCCACTGCTACTTTCACCAGTTCTAGCTTTCAAACTCAGACTGGATCTAACAGCTGGGTTAACTTAAAGTGGTTTTTAGCATTTCTATTTTTCCAAGCAGACCTTACCTTCCATAAAAGATCTTCACAAGCTCCCAGGGGGTGGTGGTTCTGCAGAAAACAACTCTCAGAAGAGCAGACTTGTTCAATTATCTTCATATACCTGAAGCTGAACGCATGTAAGGTGGGAGATATAGATAGTTGAATTTTGGATTTAACTCATCATCCCCAGACTTTCAGGAGCCCCCCTGCCTCCCACCCACAGCAGTGGGTGCTGCAATTCTTCTCCAGCACCACAGGATGCCACTCTCCCTCTCCTTGAGACACCCAGAATGAAAATAGCATGTACTGCAAAACCCATCTGCAGCAAAAAAAAAAAAAAAAAACCACCCCAATGTGTCATTAATTGAGCCCCTCCCACCATGACAGCATTCTCTCCATCCCCCCACAGAGGAAATGAGCATGAAACAATACAATGAGGGAGTTTATTTTGAAAGAAATCTACTCCCATGACGTAGGTATCACACCCCTGACTGTCAGCGATTAAAAAAAAAGTCCTTTGCAGATAATTCAGAGCTAAATGCTGCTCCCAGAATAACACTTCTTTTGTTAAAAGTGCACTTGACAAATCAAATCCCCACTTTGCTATCAGCACTATATATAAATATATATATATATACACACACAGAGTGGAGCTACTCACCAATAGGAATCTTCACCAGAAAAATACCTGATTTGGCAAAAACTGCTGTGCAGCACTAAAAAAATGAGGGAAAGCAGCTCTATCTCTCTCCGTTCCAGCACGATGTGATGGTGCCCCTGTTGGGAACAGGTTAATGCAAAGGCTGACAAACTCCCTTCAACAACCCCCCCTCAGCTGTGACTTTCAGTTTCCTCTACTGAAAAAAAAAGCACCCAAAAAGATCCGAAACTTTGTTAAAAATATTTATTTAAAAAAATACAATTGTTTTGCATGTCTGGTTGCACATAACTATTAACATATGATTGACTTGAATAATTTGCTACAATGCTTTTTTTTTTTTTTAAAGCCAGCTTGCATTATACAAAGCAAATCCCTCTGTCAGTTCTTACATAAAATAGTTTTCTTTAACTATTCCCACCCCGTTTTTTTTTTTTAAAAAAGATTGCAATACATTGATTTATTATTTTTTTTTTTGCACAAAAATTGAAGCAATAGAAAAGTCACCTGATTTCTCAGGAAAGACCTTCATGATGTTTGAATAACAACTGCCAATAGTTCATTACTTGGAAGCGTCCCTTACAGTGCACTTCCTCCAAAGTTATATTTTTGCATCTTAGGACTTTGCCTCCAAATTGTATTCAAGCCTGAAATGTGTTCAAATAACTGCGTATCTGCTATAAGCAAGTCGATCAGACTTTTTTTTTTGTTTTGGTTTTTTATTTTTCTCAATATGATATCAACATGCTGAAGGTCTTCCTAAATATATTCTCTTGGAAGGTTAAATAAAAGCAAATTTAGTAACACTGAACAATTACTGAAAACTTTGGCTATTTATGTACTTGCATTACATACCAGCATTTTTATTTATTTTTTTTTAAACACAATGGCATTAAGATACTCTTATTATAAGGTATTATTTTCAAAAAAAAGTCAGACTGAGAAGCTATTCTCTGCCAGGCAAGTTTACCCAACTGTAACGAGAGCACCAAAGCGGTGGAATTTACAGTTGTCTCTAAAAGACCGTGTCTAGAAAAAGTCTCCAGTTTAGGAAGTTGAGACACTCACTACAACATAACTCGCTTTGTCTCTTGACTTGGTACTATATATATATGCATATATATATATATATTTATATAAAAATGCAATTCTGTTCTGGAAAGAGTAACTGAAAGAGTTAGCTCTGCTGCTTTCAATGTCATTTTTATCACTGATGGGTCTAGTAAAATTTCAGGAAAGTAAAATGGAATCCCTTCCCGAGTTAAAGAGGAAATGAACCGGCATCAGTGTCAGCTGCTGCAGCGTGAATCCCCCCGCAGCCCCCATCTCCCCTGTGCAAAGAGCCCAGGGTAACCCCAAAATTCAGTTAGGAGGAAGAGAGACACTAAAGGCGTCAGAAAGTCACCTTCCAAAACAGATGTGCACTTGAGAAAGGAACAGAACAACAACTGTCACGCGTTACCACAGCTGATGAGGTTAAGTTCTCTAAAAATTTAAAGTTAAACTTCCCTCCCCTGACCCCCAGGGGGAAAGGGCAGAGAGCTCACCCCCCCCCAGGCGTGGGTCGGAGCAGCCCCCGTGAAGCCGAGGGCTCTGCTCTGATTTGGGAGCTTCTGGCCCAGGAGGGGCCCCCCTGGATTCTCAAAATTCCCCAGACAGAGTCTCACGCTGGCTAACGATCCCTCTCCAGAGTCCCAGATTAATTCCAGCTGTCCTAATATACATTAGGAGGAGACAACCACTCCCCTTACCCTATATGTTGCTAGAGTTTTATTCGTCTCGTTTATCCATCTCTATTATTAAGAATATACTTCTCAGCTATAAAAACAGAGGGGGGGGGAGAGATAAGCATTAAATGTGCTACTGTACTTATCACAAAACACTGTGACGTACATAAGGCCATCTGGTAACACTGCAACAGAATACAAACAAGATTTTAAAAGGGAGTTTTAGAATACAACTTTTAACTTTTTTTTTTTTTCTTAACTTTTCTTTTTTTAAAAACTACAATGAATAATCTCAACCCTGTTCACAGAGAAGTAACGTTAAAACTAGCACATCATATATAGAAAACTCTGTGCAACTGAACAACAGCAGAACAAAAAAAAGTCAACACAATCCTATAAAGCGGTTTTTCAAAGCCTGAAGGTTTAAGACATGCCAGCCAAAAAAAACACAACACATCTCAAGGAGCCTAGAGCAAACCCAGGTACTGTAACCCCCCCCCCTGCAGCACACAGCACACACCAGGACCCATGCAGAGGCCGTCCTCAAAGCCTTCCCGTGTTCAGAAAAAAAAATTAAAAAATTAAAAAAATAACCCTAAACAAAAAAAAAAGCCAAACATATTAAAAAACAGCTTCCAGTTATGAGCAGAGCGCTGCTGCCTGCACTGCTGAAGGAATTGAGCTCTTCCAGCCTCCCCTCTCCTCGCTGCCCCGCCACCCCCCCAGCCACTGGCCCCCTTAAAAAACCACTGTTTTCCGAAGGTTCGTGATTCTCCTGTCGCACCCCCTGCTAAAAACCCCTACTTTGAGATGAACACCTTCCGCAACGCGTGGTCTCAACAGAGAAGCAAGTGTTTTAAGTCAAAAAAAAAAAAAAAAAAAGAAGTCCAAACTTTTTTTCCATGAACATAAAATTATTCAAAGACACATTTAAGACAAC